AGGTGTTTATAACCGTGGGTTCGGCCGCCAAACGCCAGTACCTCAAGAAGCTGTTCCCCAAACTGACTGACAAACAGTTCTCGTCGTCGCGAGACTTGAGTTTCAAGACTCATGTGATGAACGAAACTCGCGGTAAAGGTGTGGATCTGGTGCTCAACTCCCTCTCCGACGACAAACTGAAGGCCAGTATTGAGTGTCTGGCAGATAACGGACGCTTCCTCGAGATCGGCAAATACGACATGTCTGTCAACAGCCGATTGGGTATTGTTTTAATGATAACTTCCCGTTAAATACAAGTGTTTGTGACACAAACTTTTACCACAGATATGAGCGAAATGATCAAAAACAAGTCATTCCACGGCATACTTCTGGACGCGTTGTTCACCACCGATGAAAACACACCGCAATCCGTACTCAGAGACCGAAAGCGCATTTGGGAACTGATCGAAGAGGGCATCAAAACGGGAACCGTTAAGCCGTTAGACAGAAGCATATTTGGTGTCGACGAGTGCGAAGAGGCGTTCCGTTACATGTCTTCGGGTAAACACATGGGAAAAGTGGTGATCAAAATCCGCGACGAAGAGCCCAACGGACAGCCGATGTCGAAGAAGCCGCTGCTCATGGAAGCGGTCGCTCGCACTGTCTTCGACTCCAACAAAGTATACATAGTTAGCGGCGGTTTAGGCGGTTTCGGTCTCGAACTCATCGACTGGATGTGCGAAAGGGGGGCCAAAAAGTTTTTGGTCACTTCCCGTTCGGGATTCAAAGACTCGTACCAGAAGTCAAAGGTTAAGAAACTGCAGACCAAATCGGGCGCCGATATACACATTGTCACTGATTTGGACCTAACTTTGCCCAAAGAGGCGACACAGTTGTTGAACATCGGCTCCCGTTTGGGACCAATTGGCGGTATTTTCCACTTAGCGCTGGTGTTGGCCGACAGCGCGTTCGACAACCAGACCTTCGAGACATTCCGTACGGTTTGTCAATCAAAGTCCGACCAATTCCTCACACTAGACATTGTGTGTCGCAAATACTGTCCGGACATCGACTACTTCGTGGCGTTCTCGTCGGGCGTCACCTCACGGGGTAATGTCGGCCAAACGAACTACGGCTTCAGTAACGCCATTATGGACCGCATTTGCGACGTCCGTCGGGCCGACGGCTACAGCGCTCTCGCCATCCAATGGGGAGTCATCGGCGACGTCGGCGTTGTCGTCAGGAATACGGGTCGCGACGATGTGGTGGTCATCGGAACGGTTGCCCAACGGATGCCCTCTTGTCTTCAAATAATGGACACACTGTTACAGTCGGGCAAAGCGTGTTGTATGTCGTTTGTCAAGTGTGAGCCCAAACAGGAGGCCAGCGGTGGTAAAGAGAACTTCATGAAGAAGTTGGCCCACATTCTCGGTATGGATGACATCAAGAAAGTGGATCCCAACACCAAACTGTTGAAACTCGGTATGGATTCGCTGATGGCTGTGGAGGTCCAGCTCTCCATTGAGCGCGAGTTCGGCAGCGTTTTGACCGCCCAAGAGGTCCGCGAACTGTCCATCGCTCGCGTCCTCGAGATTGGCTCCAAAGCCGAGGCCTAAACCACTTCTTCGGTGTCGGCTTTTTCTGTTGACCACATTTACGACATTTTGTTGTGTTATTAATTATATTGATTTATTGATAAGTTTTTTATTGGTTTTGTTTAGTGTTTAGATTTATATTAATGTAATTTGCATAATAAAGAAAGTTATATATTATTTGATTTGTTTTTATTTTAAAATAACCTAGTACAGTCTATTGAATATTTTAATTACTGTCCCAAAAGTTAAGTGAATTTTTAAAAGTTTTTCTCAATCGGTTCGTACAGTAATTTTCTGATTGATATTTAAATATAATTTACTGCGATATAGAGTTATTGGTAACTAATAACCAGAGCATTGCATTATAGGTGTTTATAAGACACAAAATAGTCACTATAATAGTTACGAAAAACAGTTCAAATAGTTACTTAAATAGTTAGTTATAATTTGACAAAATAGGCTTAAAAATGATATAAAATGTTACCAAATGCTAGTTTTACTCTTTAATACGTTAAATATAATTGTTTTTAAGCTAAATCACTTGTATTTAACTAAATTAACTGTTTTTAAGAATATTTTTAATTATTTTGGTCAAAACCCTGAATACGTACAACTCATATTTTTGGTCATTCTATCGCTTTGAATGATAAATTATTGCAATATTTTATAATAACCTTTACATTTGTGTTAGTTTACTCTATTTAAACTTTTTGCTAACTATCAAATGTAAATTAAGTTGTAATTTTCTTTGTGTATTATACTAAAATATATCAAAAACTTGAAGAATGTGTTAAATAATTACTTATTAGGTAATAAACGTTCAAATAGTTACTAACGCCTCAAATAGTTAGATATAGGTAAAATAAACTTTCGGTAAACTGACCCTCAATTCATGATCGGTTCACATTCCGAGTCTGGGGGTAAAGCTATGAACCGCTAAAAATAGGTGGTATAGGTAAATGCAATTCCCTGCTAATAACTATATGTTTGTATTGATAAGTGGTATCTCATAAACAATATTAAAGTAAATTTAAATCTTATTATATTAATCAAATAAAATTAGATTAATTTTGTTAATTTTATTTATTAATTCCATAAATACATTATTAAGTACTGTTCATATATAAACTACTTATGTTACTTTACATGTACAGTATATAATTTAGACGATTACTATATTTTATCTTTAAAAGTAAAAAAGCCAAAAACGATAACTGTATTTAAATTAATAGTAAATTATCATGTTGCTCATTTGCCCGAGTGCTCACCCGCTGACCATGTTTTTCTTATAGCTTTTCATAAAATCCATTATTATGTACTACAAAGTATTAAGAATGAATAATTTATTTCATTAATAATTATATTAATAATTTAATTAATAATTATATCATAATGTTTTAAGCGATATTTAACCAACGATTGACGTTTTAAAGAGTATTAAGTGATATAAAATGCCAGAAATTCAGATGTAATACATGAAAAGATCTCAACAGGGATTTTATCAAACATTATAATTTATTTTGCAACAATTGGATAAAAATTTCAATACATTAAAATTTAAACTTTATTAACGCATATTTTATTCAAAATTATTATTAAACTATTCATTGAATAGCTTTTAAAATTTACGATATTAGTGAACGGTTGGAAAATAATAAGGAAATAATTTTTAATTTTAAAAACAAACAAAAGTCTATAAATATTAGTATAGAATAAAACTATTTAGATTAAATTTATTGAAAATTGAGTTGAGTATGATAATAAATAGCATGTAATGGATGGAAATATTTTAATACAGTTATACTACAGTTGTATATCATTAATATTAATTTATTACATGTATAACAAAAAGCCCAATTTATAGAATAATTTTACAATTCATATTAGTACCAGAATTCATAATGTTAAATTATTCCTGAATTTTTTAAAAATTATAAATAAAGTTACTTTACTTTACTTTACTTATATATACTTTACTTAACAATAATTGAATTATACTAAACTTACACATCAATCCATAAACATATATTTGATGAGTTGCAAGCAGTTACATTTTTTTATTGATCACTGTGTTATAATACAATAATTACTATACAGTGTTAAAAAGGATATTAGATAATTAATTATGAAAATGATACCTAAATACTGTTTATTTGTAATAATTATTACAATATTTATTAAAAGTAATTATGGATTAGATTCGGATGATTACGACTTCGAGGGAACGGATAATAGTTTATTGAATAAAACGGACAGCGAATCCGATGACGATTATGAAGACAATCGGTGCTCAGAGGACGAGATAATTGACAAAATGGTTGATATAATGACTCCCGAAGACTATAACGAGGGAAAAGTGATCACAGATTACAAGAAATTAACATTTGTTGAAATAGCGAAAGCATCGCAAAGATTGGGAACTTTTAGCAGAAATATTAGCGCAAAGACCGAAGGATTGAATAAAAGGCTTTCCAATCGATTGTCGGAGACATTAATGAGCGTTAATTTAGAGCCAAATTGTATGCAATCTCTCATCAGAATTATGTCTGCCGTCAAGAATGGAGAGCTTTGGGCCCTTAAATGTAATGCATTTTATTCATAACTAAACTCATAATTAACTGCACATTATATAGTATAATTATCATTCAACATTTCATAATTAAGATATGATACTTTGAATGATAATTTTATTCAAAACATTTAATTTAATTACTATTGTCTATTATTTATTTATAACACAAATCCCATTTTCTAATATTTTGCTTCTTGTAATATAACTGTTAATGAGTAATTTGTTATTAGTTATATTAAATTAAATTTATAATATTTATTTACATTGTTCATAGTTCTTGACGCTCAGCCATCATTTCAAATGACAGTAACTGAGCTAGGTGGTCCGAGTATTGGTAATTATGATCAATGCTTAAGTATTGTCAGTCCCGAAGAAGTGGATCAACCGGTGATCAAAGGACAGTACTGTGCAATGGATACCAACTTTATATTAGATATAAAGATGGAAGATGTGGAAAGATCAGATAATTTGGGTGCAGTAATGAATAAATTTGTTTTTGCAAACAATTTCTTTCCGGGACTAATGGGTGTTTATGTGCCGATTATTGTCAGTCGTGATCATAATCCTAACGACTTAACTGAAGGGATGGAATATTCAAAGTATTTTTTTAAAAAAGACATCAAATTAGTAAATGGTTTCTGTTTGCCGACCACTTGTAAACCCGAAGATCTGTCCGACGCTATCAATGAGAGTAAGTTTTTGTATTATAATAATCTATTCACATAAAATGTATATTTTAAATATCCATAAAATTAATTTTGATTTTTGTGTTATAAAAGTGGAAGCCGACCCATTTTTAGTATGAATGGAGCTCATTGTGAGTTATTATATCAATAATATAATTTAAATTGTAAAAAACAATTGTTTACTTAATATATGTAAAAACATTAACATTTGTCAAATCTTAACTAAAAAGCGTTTATAGTGCTGAGGTTATAGTGTATGTCAATGTAGTCCCTAATAAACGATGTATTGCTGGAAAACCAACTGTATAACGTAGGCGTGCAATTACTGTAGTTGTAAAAGTTACAGTTAAAGTTAAGTACAATTAATTAAAATTTAAAACTGTATAAAAGTGTTTAAATAAAATAAATGTATTTTTTATTATAATTGCATAATTTATTTAATAATAGCAACGAGCAAAATATAATTCACAGACGCTATGGATATATACTTATAAATCTCGTAGCTATTCATGGGAAACAAATCATAACAATAAAAGCCGATATTTGGCCCTGATAGCTTTTCGATAAACGACATCATCTTGATCATCCTAGAATTACCACCATAATGAACACTAGAATTTACCAATAGCCCACTGGCATATGAAAACATCAACGACCTAGGTGCGTGAGCCGCTTTAGTGATCCAGGTGCTCATTAGGTTCATGGTAAACACGGACACAAATGCGCCCGTAAAAATGATCGCGCTAAATAGTTTAGTCTGACTATTAGTGCGTTCATTGTGTACACAATACAGCAAAAGCTCAAAACCTGGGGTCGATATGTAATACAAAATGAACGTGACCAAACGGAAATACATATTTAATTGGTGGCAAACGTGCTGCACGTATACGTGCTCGTGATAGCACCTAGACATTAGTGCGCTATCGCGTGTAATGTGTGCTTTTAATATAGCAAGGTGAATTTTGGTAAATTTTAGTTTCAGGTATAGGGCCGAGAAGTACCACAACACGAGTCCCGCCCATAGTATACCACACATGTGTTGTAGAAACACCAAGGTAATTAGGTTCCAGAATAGAGCAGCTGTGACCATAATCATTTTGTGGCCACTACTCGCGTTATTATCCAGGTATACGACGATGGTTGAGATTAAGTGAATGAGTGCCATGAAAGTGACCATGGCCAAAAAGGCGTGTCTCATTAGAAAGCGAGTCAAACGATTGACTTTAATGGCAAACAATCGCTGGTTAATGGCGTTTAACGGGTACTTCACTCGCCGGTACTTAATCTGATAAAACAGGGCAAACATGTAATACTCGCGGCGCCCCTCCAGCCAATTACCGATGGCCACAATCATCGAGATGGCCACACAGTGAGCGAACAACATGGTAGAAATCAGAAACCGATTGCCCGACAGGTACGTGAAATCGCACAGCAGTGAGAGTATGTCCGGTCTGTCTGTGAGGGCACAGGTGACAAATCTGACAATTACCATGATTTTGATGATTACCACGATTCTAATCCAGTTCACTCTCTGTGCTGACACTTTCCCCGGTAAACAGTATTCATCGCTCGACCGATACATTGATATACAATTTGCCGACAAAAAGTTTTCAACGCTATTAATGCCAACCGATATATCGATGCTTTTATTGGCATATTTATCGATGGTTTGCCTGATTTTTAAATAGCTTTTAGCCGTTTTTGATTTAATTGTTGAATACATTATCGCTGAATATATAACTGAATTATCTCTTCTAAACAAAGTTTCCCGTTTTTAGATTCAAAATTAGTTTTTAAAATAATTT